ATCGAATAAATATAAGAATATCAACGAATAAATTAATATCAAATCGGATATTACAAATATTTTGGACATTCACCAAAGCTACTACGTGATTGTAGACATTCACCGGTGAAAGTCGATATTCTCTTGATTTCGGCGATTCACCGTAACGCATACACAACAGATCTTCTGCAAACATTTGAAACCTTATAAATAAATATAATACTGAAACTCCCACTAATATTTGAACTTGGTCATCTAAATTCCTAACATCTCAGCTGTGTTACAATTATTTGAGCTCTCACAAACATTTAAACTTTTACAATTATTTGAATTCCTATAAATATTTGAACTCCTGCATCAGGACTCCTATTAGCATCTAAGCTCCCACAATTATTTGATCCCCTACAAATTTTTCAACTCTTGCAAATATTTAAATTCCTGTATTTGAACTTCTATTTTACTTCGTAATGGGCAAAACAATTCTGAGTGTACGATTATTGAAGTTCAACTCCGTTTCCTACGAATTTTGAACCCAATCCAGAAGACAAGGAAACTCCTGGATTAGTACCCCTAGAAGATGATTTGTTATGAGAACAAGGAGGACTTTGTGACACAACAGATTAAAATATCTTACAATGCATAATCGTATTTTTGCCACCTTTCAAATTTTTTTTTCCGTTTGGAGTAATGCAATAATTGATTGAAAATAAAAAATATAATACGTAGCTAATTTATCATATTGATTACATTTACCAGAAAATTTAAGTTTTAAATGATTCGAAAATAAATTTTGATTACCCTAAGTCCAGTATACTGTTGCACTAAGAAGGAAAAATAAATTACCAAACTAAAAAACTTTTGCAGCTTACTAAAATTGCTATAAAAAAAGTATTATAATTAATATAATATTTATAATTAATGTATAATAACTATAATTATGATTAATATAATAAGTATTATAATTAGTAAAAGTATTAATCAAAAAAGTGCTTTTTTTCTATTATTATATTTTCTAATTAGTGCTAAGTGAGCAAGAACAGACAATATCGATAACTTTTACCAAATATTAATTTTAGCTATGTTATTGTGTTGTTGATTATCAATAAATATCGATTATATTTCGTTAAATATTAATTTTTCTATTTCTTATTCTAGTAATAGTTGATTATCAGTAAATACTCTTTTACATTTTCGAAACAATAATATATTTCGGTCCCTATAACTTGTTGACTAAACAATAAATATCTACTATACTTTGGCCCCGTAGTGGACTGATCATAAAGACACGATTCCCAGTAGAACACCAAAGTCGAGCAACACTGGATGCGGTCAGTAGGAGGATGGGTGACCAGTTTGATTAGCCTGCGTAGAGAGCGAGGATGCGCTGTGTCAGTCCTCGTTAAACTGTTCTACAGTAAAGTGCTCGACTTCGCAAGCAGGTCGTCAGGCTACCAAAATGGAGGAGGCATTCCCTATGCAGAGGATCAAAATTGAGATGGCATGTCTTCGGATTTCTCTCAGGGATGTTTTCCAGACCGTCGCCAATTGTCCACTGTGCAATTCTTGTGCGACGTAAATAATGTACCTGCCTATAGTTTGTCTAAAGTAAGAACTCCCCTAGCCATTTATCTGGACCCATGGGGTTGACTATGGTAATGAGGTGTAACTATTTCAAGTAGGGGTGTGGATAGTGGTTTAGGACAGCCTTTGGCTCGAGATGGTGAGAGAAAGGGAATCTTTTTCTTCAGTCTATTGTGTTAGTACCCAAGAATGAAGAGAGGCTACCCTCCTTGAAATACGCTATTCTTGTTTCCATAGCAGCAGACAGCCTCAGACTTCGTGGAGGGGGGAGTTCTTACCGAAGACAAACTATACTACTATACTTTGAAATATTTATTAGTATAACTTTAGTATAGAGCCTTCTATGATTATTGATTATCGGTAAATATATCTTTTGTTGATGACAAAAAAATATGTAATAGTGATGAAAAAAATAAGCTATAACGCTTAATGAGGAAACAAATGCTATTAAAAAATAAAAGAACGAAAGCAACAAAACAAGAGAGGAAAACGTGATTTATTAAATATTTGTTATTTACAATGCTTTGAGAAAGAGAGAATAATATTACTGGTGATATTATGCCCAGAACTATAATAACAATAACATTATTTACAGGGCGCGTTATATATATGTACATAATTTATTCTGGATAATAACTATAAAAAAAAAAAAAAAAGAAACATACTCTCTCTCTCTTTGTAGGGAAAATGCTTACATTAAAGCTATCACAGGCAAGTGATATAAGGGGAAAAGGGATCATTCTTTCTTTATTCTTGGATATTAAGAGAAGAAAAACAATTCAAGGACTTAGTGGAAGAATGTGTTATGCGCCATTTTGAAAACTCTGGTTTTTGAGCACTATGGAGTGTCCTTGTAAGTACTATAAAATAAAAATTTATTTTACCAAGTTTAAAAACAAGGTGGCTATAAATGGAAAATGATGTATTGCAAATGGCGTTTTTTTTTTAATAATTACAATTAGAATGTCGCTGAATACGTTTTTCCGTTAAGCTTCTCAATTTAAGAACGTTTTGGAAGAACATGTTTTTTACTATTTTGAAATCTTTGGAATAACATGAGTTTCGAACATGTTGTTTACTACGTAGTAGTAATTTACTAAGTGTTTAATTAGACGTTTTTAATGTAACAATTAAAATTTCGCATATTACGTTCTTCCGTTAAGCTTTTCAATTTAAGAACGCATCGGAAGAACATGTTATGCACCATTTTGAAATCTTTGGAATAACCCGAGTTTTGAACATGCTCTTTATTGCATAGTACCGAACATTAATTTACCAACTTCTTAAAAAAAGAGGTTTTTGATGTAAAATTATGCATTGTAAACAGCCTTCTGAATTTCGATATATCTTAACTGATTTTATCCAATACTTTAAAAAGTACTTTACTCATTCTTCCACTAAACTCGTTCTTAATTTAAGAACATAGTGGAAGAACGTGGTTTATCTTTGAGATTGTTTAATTTTTGAACACGTTTATTGTCTCTTGTAAGCACTACTAAAACACTAATTTATTATGTTTTAAAATAAAGTGGTTTTTAATGTAAATTGGCGTATTGTAAACAGCTATTTCTTAAATCAATACGTCTTAAAACTGATTTCATCAATTGCTTTAAAAAGTTACACAACACATTCTTCCAACGAGCTCTTCAATCTAAGAACATAGTGAAAGTACGTGTTATGTGCTTTAGAATTTATAGGCAATATTTTTTTCTTTTTAAGAACATCTTTATTGTCCTTTGTAAGCGTTAGAGAATATTGATCTATTTTGGTAACTTTTTGAATAAAGGTTTTCTTTATTGAAAATGAGGCATAGGCAAACAGCAATCTGTCATTTCTATAAATCTTAAATCTGATTTAAGCAAATACTATAAAAATTCACTTTACACATTCTTCCACAAAGTTCTTCAATTACTTTATAATTTGATTTAAATAATTTATAGATATATATATATTTATATATTTACAATATGCTAGTTAAACACAAATCTCCCCAAACAAGAGATATGAAAAAAACATTTTCCATAACTTTTAATCCAATTTAACTTCTAAAACATTTTATGTAATATAATACAAAGTGCAACTAAAAGGGAAAATATATCGGGATACAATAAGGGAAATCGCATCGTAAATAACATTACATTAAATGTATGCTGAAAATTGCACGAGGATATGTAAAACAAGTTGAAACATGATTTCAATGTCAGACAGACGTCTCTTTTTTAGATTTGATTTAACCCTTTGACGCAGGTGGAAGAACGGCGTTCCTTTTATATATTTTTTTTTCTGATGCTTTTATTACTAGAAAAAGTACATTTTGAAATATTTAAATTAAAAAAAAAACAGTCTAATAGTTCCTAAAAAAAATTCTACTAAGTTATCGGAATTAAATTCAAAAAAATTAGTTCAAAAATTTTTTTTCATTCATATTCAAAAAATTATCAATAATTGATTTTCAATGATTAAAAACTGTTTCTCTCAGATATAAATAATTTCAAATAAGTGTAACTTTAAAAAAATTATTGTTTGGAAGTGAATAGGTTTTGAAAAATTTCACCTCTAATCCCAAAAAGAAAGAAGAAAAAAACCACCTGTTTTTCATGTATTTTATAACCATAAATTATTAAAATACTAAATATAATATTTTTCGCTTATTTTGACCTAAATTAATATAAAATAATGAAAAAAGTGTGAAAAATATGTTTAATAAAAATTCTGCGTCAAAGGCTTAGTTGTACAAAATTAAATTTGTTTCAGTAAAATACTATGAAGCAAAAACTGACATATGTTAATCCCTTTCCAGTTTTTGCATCATAATATTGGAAATTGGATAATGAAATAAAGGAATTGGAATAAGTATATTGGATAAAGTGTGTAGCGAACTGCAATGCGATTACTTACATAACAGTGGTCATCACGTTTTTAAAAAATAAATATTTTGATGGTTTGAAGATAAAATAAGGAGAAAATCGCAATTTTGTCATGTAAAACTTTGATTAACTTGCAAAAAAAGAAAAAAAAAATTATAAAAATAATAGTTTTGTGAGTTTTTTGTATGTAATATTTATTTAGGGTAAACTAAATTTTAAAAACAAGAATGAAAAACTAATTGATTGTAACCTATTACTTGAAACTGCATTGTGGTTGAATAACAGTAAGAAGAAATAAAAGCAATACTATAAGTATTAACTCTTAAAAAAATAAAACACTGCGAAAATTTCAATAAATGTGATAACTATTTAGCATTATTATCTATCAAAGATAGTATTAATGAAGTGAAATTAAATTTATCAGATAAATTAAAGAATAATAGAAAAAGTAGATAAATTTGAAACATATCGGACTAAAAATAAATAGTGTGATAACGTGTGCTAATTGTGTTTTATTGCAAATACAACACTTGTATTATATTAGTCTATACGATTTGCAATGAACCATAATTATTTTATGTTCGGGGGGGGGGGATGATAGTGACCCTGTATCTAATCTTCAGTTTTTCATTTGTCCGAAAAGTAGTCATGAACTTTCCATACAAAATATTTTATGTGAGTTTGCTTTGAAGTTTCTGGAAGAAAACTACCTTGAAAATTTAGTTGCACAAAAAAGAGTCTTTTTTTTTAGTAAAATGATTGCAGATGAATGTCTTTATTGCAGGGATGTCGCCTTGAAATGTCCCGTTGCAGAATAATCCTCAGGTAGGGATTCTTGTCTAAAGGACCTGCCATGACTGTTTGCAGAATAAGATCCGCCGTTTTTACTGTCTGCAAATAAATAGTTTACATCAGAAAAGAATAAATTGGAAAAAGAAGAGATAAGTTTAAGTAAGAACAAAAACACATAATTTACATCAATAGTATTTAATTTAGGAAATTAATTTCGGGTGTTCCAAAAATGACAGACGATTTAAAAATTTATTCAAAATGGAAGAGGATTAAAATGATACAGATGAGATAACCATGCATTATTACAAGCAAATTTTAAAAATCTTCATCAGCTGATGGCACTACTAACCAAGAAAAACGGCTGCAACAACGTTTTCAAAATAACCAGCATTTGCAGCAATAACGTGGATAAGTTTTTGCAGTGCCAACTTTCACTCTCGCCGAGAATAGGTTTTCCAAGTCCTTGTTTTATGGTACTTCGGTTTTTCGGTACTGTGGTCGGTGCGAACCGGGAGCAGAATTTTTGTTGACCAGCTGTAGCTGGGATTAGGACCCTATTCAAAACTTGCTGGAAGTGACTGAGTGGAAACAAAAGTTTGTTAATTTATAACTTGTTTTTGTTTCTTCTCTTTCACGTCAGGACAGGCCTTGAGAATGGGCACCTATTTTTGAGCGCTAAAAGCATGTCGAGTGGTATTTCCTATTTATATATTTTTGAAGGGAAAGACGTTTTTTAATCAAGTAATACCTTTGGGATTATTTATTTTAATTAAAAAATATTAAAAATAATCACTTTCAACATAAACGGGTTACCACATTCATGTCTGTAATTCCTAAGAGGATTCATTTGCTTTACCGCAAACTTTCTCAAAGGTACTAATGTACCCTCACTACAAGAAAGCTTTTCTGATGGTTATCACCCAATCTTTACGGGCTATTGCTCCTCTTACCCCCCTCCCTAAATGTCATTCTAAACGGGACAGCTGGAAGCAACAGAAATAGTCGAAAATTGATATTTAACAGCTGTTGCTAATAATGACTTCGGAAGAAAAAATTACAATTTTTTATTGTTATTTTACTAATGAAAACCGAATGAAGTTTCGATAATTAAACTTTTAATACAAGTAGTTCTAGAATGCTATATGTTTGTTTAAGTAGACAGTGATAATATTTTTTACGAATTACTTTCTGTATCTTTCTGAAGAGATAGTTATCGCAAACACTTTTCTCCCTCACGTTAATTCTAATCACCCTGAATGTCAGAAAAAAATCTTTATTCATGCTACCGTTTTCCGTGAACTAGAATCGAACCGTTTCATTTTCCGTGAATTCAAACTCTTCTTATTTAAACTCCGAAGTTAAATTCTTCCGGTCGCTTTCTGCTAACCGTGGATTTAACCCTTCTGTAATTGATCCAGCTCAAGCTAAACTCACTAGACCCAAATGTCCCTCTTATTCCTTACAGAGAATGCGTTACTTTACCATTTTTTCCTTTCGTTTGTATTAAAATTGCTAATACCCTCTCCGTTTTAAGGCTATTTAACCAAATTAAAGTCTCTTAAATATTCTATTAGTTTTAATAATCGCTGGGGAATTTATCACATTCCTTGTCAGCGTGACCTAGACTACATCAGACAAACTAGACATGCCTTGAAATTTAGACTTAATATCAATGGCTGCACATTGTAGGAATCTTGGGACAAAATTATTATCACCAGAATCACATCATCTCATATTGCCCAGGAATCTTGTTTCATTTACTTATTTATTCATTTTTCTAACTGTCATTGGACAGCCAACCCAAATTTGGGTGTACGACTACCAGTGTTCAATGCCGTAGACTTGTAATTTTGAACCCAATCCAGAAGACAAGAGAACTCCAGGATTAAGTATTGGGAGAAATTTTGCCCTCGTAGCCAATTGCTTATGGAACTAACCGGCATATGCATTACATTGGGAAAGAAAACCACAAAAACCTCCCACGGTTAGCCTGATGGCAAGGAGACTCTTACCCATGATCCGTCTACCACTGAGGATATTTTATGTCAGCACTTGTGGTCGGGGCAAGTCGAATTCAGAATTCGTAGCAACCAGTCATCGCTGGGATTCGAACCCGGTCCACCTCATTGGGCGGCAAACGCTGTATTCCCTGAGCCATCACGGCTCAGATCTTGTTTTATTCATATGAATGCCGATTCCCTTACTTCCTCACCACAGTGCGTGGAAACTCATTTCACCCTGATTTGTCCTTCTGTGGTCCACTGTGGATTTTCTATATTTGTTTTTGACCTTCACGTTTTCATTTTTCGCTGACAACTTTACGTTTTATGTCTTAAATCACTTTTGCTTCTGATCATTTACATCTGGCTGGTCTTAAAAATCGGAGCCAATTTTTGAAACGTGTTCACTGTTATTTCCAATTTGTATCGTTGAAGTGATAGTTGGCAGCTTCAATTTCTTAGGGTCCCACAATGGACTGATCGTAAGGACACGGGTCCCAGTAGAACACAGAAATCAAGCATCACTGGCTGTGGTTAGTAAACGGATGGGTCACCACTTTGCTCAGTCTGCGTAGTGACCGAGGGTTAAACTGTTCGACCGTAAAGTGCTCGACTTTGCGTGCAGATCGTCTGGCTAAGAAAGCTGGGGAGCCATTCCCTCTGCAAAGGATCAAAATTACGTTAGCATGTTTTCGGATCATCCTCAGGGATGTTTCCCAGACCGTCGTCAATAGCCAGTTGTGCAATTCTTGTGAGTAGGGGAAAATTGAGCGTTCAACCCCACTTTTTTTACTATGGGATGAGCGTTCAACCCCACTTTGGGTCGATGTCCTCTTTTACTCTAGTTCTATGGGATGAGCGTTCAACCCCACTTCGGATCGATGACCTCTTTTACTATAGTTCTATGGGATGAGAGCTACACCCCACTTCNCATGCAAATGAAGAATGGTAGAGTAGGGCTCTCACAAATTTATTCCGAGCATGTTCAATACTTGTTGGAATCACAATAAATGATGGAATTTGATGCAGAAAACTCAGATAAGTATTAGAAAAACAAACCAGAGGCATGCTGAACAAAATCATTCTCTACTCGTTGCTCTCCCGCTACTGTTTCAATTTAACATCTATAAAAGAGATTAATTCAGCGGCGTGATAACCCATAGAGGAGCAAGGTCTACTGTGTTCATCCCAGTTTTCTTGTTCTTGCAGCAGGAACAAATGTTCCTATCGGGTGTTCAGCTATGCTCGGACCCACTGAAGATGGAAAGAAGAGATGAGTTAATCTTGTCTAGTCCGAGTATTGAACCCTGGACCTGTAGCATGAGAACGCGAAGCTCTACCTCTCAGCCATCGCACGGCCAAATGGGACATCACTACTTTTATATTTTATAACTGGAGTTGGCATTTAGTGACTACAACTTTTTTCCTAATTAGAAAAACTACATGTCAAAAAAAGTTTCAGCTCTTGGAAGAGGTGAAAAAGATGAAGATGGTGGTAAGCGAGTATGACTGGACATACGAAAACTGCCACAGCGAATGAAAAATACCTCGACGAATTTATAGAAAAATTGAAGAAAAGTTCAATCTTAAAAGTGATATAAATGTAATAGTAAACTAAAGTGCATTAATTTGTATAAATATAATAGTAATTTAATGAGGATTAATTTTTGCTTTAATGAAAAAAAATCCTGAATTCAGCTTTCGTGTAACGTAAACGTGGATTAGTTCCACTGAAAAAATTCTCCATTAAGGTGACTGAACTTAGTTTCTCTGTCTGAGTTTGGTTTTAAAAAGTTCTCTGAGTTTGGTTTTAAAAAAACAGTAGTTACAGATTCTAATCACCTCCTAAAACTTTTAGAAGTCCTCACGCAACATCATAAAAATAGTCTGCTTAGCTTAGCTACTAAATAGTACATTATTTAAATTATATAACTTTTTAAACAAAGAAATCAATTTTAGTAAGTTTGGGTGTTCCATACTGAACGCCCTTATTATATAATATTAGAATTCTTGTTAAAAGATGAAAAAAAAACATATACAATGGAGGACGTCTCAAATAAATATTTAATCAAGGTAATAACTATTTCAAATATTTAAAACTTTATCAAAAATTAAATTATATTAAAAACATAAGAACCTGTCTAATAGCCAGAGGTGACCCAGAAGTGACTATTAAAAACACCTTCAGGTAGGTGTGTCAGCTGGTCAAGAAGATTGCTGATTTTAAAGTCAAGTCTGAGCAGACTATCTTTAAGATCTCGTGTGGAAAGTTTCAGTCTTAGAAGGTGATACTCGAATCCATCATTTGAATAAACTGTTCTCATGATATCATTAATTTAGAAAAAGCAACTCACTTTGAATACTAGCAGATACACCACCGATAGCAGATGATTGATATAGATGACCACCTTGTCCACCCAGGAAGCCATTTGAGCCGGATACCTTCATGTTTGGTGGAGTTTGAGGTGGTGTGTCCGTCTGAGGAGGCACAAAACCTTGAGCAGATGAACATGACCCTCCGTGACCACTAGGGGGCGATGCGAATGACCCACCAGAGTGAGGATGATAACTTCCAAAGCCACCTAAGGATGCTGAGGCATTGGTCACTTGGTAAGGATTCACCGAAAACCATCCACAGTGTCCTAACATGTCCATCATACTGCCGGATGTCTCTTGAGTTGGACCACCAAGCAGAGGAGGGGGACTTTTACTCGTGGCTGTGTCCGCCAAAGACCATATTTTTGGTTTATTGGCTCCAGTCATGGATCGACCGGACATGTCCACGTCTTCGACAGCAGAAGGCGAGCTTTTCATCGAGTCCATGCTCGTCCTGTCTTTGGCTTCGAGGGGGGAGGTGGTGCGCATGAGGGCCTGAATGTCCGGCAAATTAGGCGATGAGGATGAGTCAGTAGGTGTGAATTCGGAGGTAGCGATGAGGGAAGTACTGTCCCTAGTACTGTTTTCTTGTTGTTGAGCACCGTTTGGAGTTATTTTGTTTCTGTGGTGAGGCAGGTGGGGATAGGGTCGTCCAGTTATGTGATTACCTGAGCCGTAATGTACTGCACCATCAACTGCAAATAATAAAAAAAAAACATTATCAAGATTTGATTCTGGTATTATACGAGATTTGAAAAAAAAAAATCAATTTTTAAAAACCGCTAATATACATTCTTCGATCGTAACTTTCGATTTATTGAACGGATTTTCAAGCATCCCTAAAGAAGAAACTTCATGGCAAATTCCCTCCATTGATAATTCAAAATACCAATGGTTTAGGTTTACGAGAACTCACTTTTCTCTAGAGTAAATGCCAAAAAAAAAATTTTTTTTTCTTCGAAATCTTAAAATGCAAACAAATTTTAACAGTTATCGTGAGCAAGCAGATATTCTGAGTAAGGTTGATACTTTGAACATTTTTCACCATTTGAATCTCCATAGTTTAATCTAGGTTCACCGAAACTTACTCTTCTCTATACTTCATATTTTAAATTACGAATATAAGTGAATTGGGGATTAAAGATTTCCCCCCGATATAACGTCCTTTTAATGGTTGCATGAAATATGAATCCAATTTAGAAGACAAGGGAACTCCTGGATCGAGTATTGTGAGAAATTCGCCTTCGTGGAGGACTTTTTTTGATGCAAATAACCCGTATTTGCGTTACATGGAGAGGAAAACCATGATAACCTCCCTCTGTTAGTCCGGCGGCAAGGGGATTCTAACCCATGATCCGTCTACCACTGAGGATATTTCACGCCAGCATTGTGGTTGTTGCAAGTCGGATTCTGAACTCGCATCGACCAGTGATCGCTGAGATTCGAACCGGGTTCACCTCATTGGAAAGCGAACGCTCTATCCCCTGAGCCCGCCCAAGCAAAGTATTCTAAGTAAGCAAAAGTAAAAAGTATTGTACCAATTGAATATACTTAATTTTCATTTTAATGGGATGAACTTCGAAAAACATGTTTTTCTTATTCTTAAAATGTAAAACCACCGAGAGAGAGAACCAATAATGATTATGAAACTATTTGAATTATTTCAGCTTTATCCATCGTGTCGGCCTTAAACAAAACTCAATGCCTTCAAGTTTGGTGCATGATTTTGTAGTGTTGACAAACACTAATTTAATGTTTAGTTACTTTTTTTTAACCCCGTGCGAAGAAAGTGTATTCAGCTAATATTTTTATAACTAACAATTTTTAAATAACATTAATATTTCCTATTAAATCATTCAACTATTTGAGACATATTACACTAGGCTTTTAACCGATTCATAAAGCTTTCAGCGTTGCTATTATTATAATAATTAAAAGTTTTTTTTCGGAATATTTTGTCTCTGGGATTTGTAATTAACACTATGATGCTGATAAGGTACTGACTTTTACGGATTCATTTTATTAAGAAATAAAAATCATCAGAACGAAATTAAAAGCTTATTTGCGAATTTAACGGATTTATACAAATATTTCAAAAGAAAAACTTTATATAATAGTTGTTGAAAAAAAGTAAATAAATACTATTAACAAGCTGACAAATTATTAATTTTTAACTGCGCCTCCATTTAAGGAGGCTTTTGCACCACAACTTCGCCAAAATTGGAGAAAAATACGCCGCCTAATTCTTGCATAATTAAACACAAGGAGACAACAAGTGGAGAGACTGGGTCAAAACAAAATCTCGGGTGCAGATAAATTAAAACATTTTCCAGGCGGAAGAAAATGTAATTAGGTAATGAATTAAAAGGAGAAAATGAGTACAAGAAAGAAATTTAAATAAAAAACAATTTAACGTTAAAAAAGCGTTGAAAGATGGTGAAAATGGGTAGATTAGCTCCACAGAAAGACGTGCGAAAGGTTGTGGGGGTGTGGAAGTGGTGTCGTGGGGAGATGGGGGGAGGTTTTAATAAATATGGCCAGCCGGGGGAATTTGTTCCGAAAGCTCTAAGACGGGAATATCTAAAAGGTGGGGGGGGGGGGGGTCNGGGGGGGGGGGGGGGTGGTCTAGGGGTGGTTGAGAGAGACCAGATGATCACTCCTGCTCAACCGTTTTCATTTACATGCAAATGAAGAATGGTAGAGTAGGGCTCTCACAAATTTATTCCGAGCATCCCTTTGAGATAGGGGATCATGTTAAAAATTGAATACTTCCACTTCGCAGGTGAACAGACCTCCCCCCAAATAGAACAAGGATTGCTGATAGAAGATGAAAATAATCTTCACTTTGAGAAGCCATAGTCGGCTTTAGTTTTTTTTTCGTACTGGCAACACGACTCGAATGGAAATCTTGCATGGGTGATTAGTTTCAAGGAAAGTTGCGTAGTAAAAGTGAGTGGGAAAGAAAATTTGCTTATTTTCATTTCTCCCTAGGATAAGCAGCTCGAGACTCATATAATTCCATCAAATTTCCATACTCATAACTGTGCAGTATTTTGATGGACAACAACTTATCCACAAGGAATCATATTTCAAAGTCTCATATCATTCCATCAAATTTCCATACGCATAACTGTGAAGTATTTTGGTGGACAACAACTTATCCACCAGGAATTATACTTCAAAGTCCGAATCAATGACAACAAATCACACTTTTCAAATCAAAAATTATAATTCAGGGTTTCACTTGATTTCTGCATATTCAAGTGCATGAAAATTGAATAAGGATTACAAAGACAAAAATAGTCAAATTTTTGCAATCCTTCTTCAGGGCTGTTTACACCCTATTACACAATGCATTACCGTATGAAATCTTTCAAAAACATTCAACAATCAAATGGCTCAATCTATTTCTACTATAATTTAGATGTGAATCGAAGTACGCAAGATAATATGGCAGAGAAAAATTACAGAATAATCGAGAAAGTGTGAGAAATGTTATAGTCGGTTGTTAGCTTAAATCTTTCGTTACCATTTGATGTTTCTAAGACTGACATGTTCTTTCATTATTTTATTTAACATGCCAATTTCAATAAAGTAATTAGACAAGTTTAGTCAGGCAAAAAATACTAAAAACTAACAAAAAGCGCTTACTGGAATCATCACACGATGCTGTTCTACGATCGCTTTCGTCTTCGCTTTCACATTTTGTCGTTCTGGACTCCCCATCAACGCGATCGTTTCTGTCCATCCTGTTCCTTTTAGTTGCTGCATCACCGTCATCTTCGACGTCATCATCATCGTCATAATCCTTGACGTCATCAGCGTCCATTTTGTTCCTTGGCTCCCACGTCATTTTGTTCTCTTTTTTCAGCCTCCTGCGAGCATTCGCAAACCACGTTGAGACTTGTGTGAGAGTCATTTTGGTGATGATGGCCAGCATGATCTTCTCACCTTTCGTCGGGTAAGGATTCTTACGGTGTTCGTTGAGCCATGCTTTCAGCGTGCTCGTTGAGTCTCTTGTTACGTTTTTCCGCCTGGCGCCATTGAAATCTAAACCACCATACCTATAAAAAAACACCAGTCAATAGAATAATTAATGATCTAACTGTAAACCCTATACTTAGTTCTGAGAGCTAAATTTTTTTTTTAAATTTTAGACATAGCTATAAATGAATATTTAAGAAAATGGATATAGCTTGCAAGGTGTGTTTAAAGAAAGTAGACATAGCTTAAAATACGCGTTTTTAATTATGGTATGTAGAATAGGATGACTGTTTATTTTTACAAACTATTCCTTTACGTACTTTAAAATTAGTTGCAGCGTAGTGCAGTGAAAAAAACAAAAGCAATTCACCATCGATCCTTAAAAAAAAAAAAAAAAAAAAAAAAAAAAAAACTACCGGAAGTTTTGAGGTCTTCTTCTGACGTCATAGCATTGACGTGACTATTTCTTCTTTTTTTCTATATACTCGGAATACCTAGTTGTTCTGAATTTAATTTATGTCTCGTGTTTTTGCGAAAAATATGTTCCTCAAATTTTTAAATATCAGATGAAGATATTAAAAAAAAAAGTACTTGGGAAAATTATAATATATTGATATGCAATTGCCGGATCGTTGAGATGCGGATTTATACAATTTAGTTTACAGCAGCAGAAATTCTTCTACCTGAATCTTCAACCGGAAGTTGAAACAACCTCTACAGACACTGCCCTCTACCGAGGAGAACATGAAACACGACCGGGAATAAGGTGAACAATGAGTGTGCATTTTGATGTCCTTTTTTTCAGCATTTGAAACTTTATAGCTTACTCTGTTTGCATTAACTCAGTTTTTCCCATTCTTTAAATTTTAAATAGATGTTGTAAAAGTTAATAGAAAGTACTGAAAATTATCAGTTATCAAAAGCATTAATAGGAAAAACATTACAACTAGATAACTACGCGATAAAAAAATTTTTTTTTAAATTATTAAAAGGGACAATTTTGGAACGTCGGAGAGTAGCAGATTTTTTGTAGAGATTGGTCTTTTTTCTTCTTTTTTTTTTAAGCTGTGTACTAACCCGTTACGGGAATTGTAAATGATGTAAGCCTTTTTATGCGTCGTTGATGTATTAAAGAAATATTTTCTTTTCATAAATACTCTTTCTACAGTACAGTTTGGTTCAGTACAATGTAAAACAGAATTTGCCATAAAAAATTCTCTTATCTTAACACTAAACATACCAACACTTAATGTATACCTATTTCTACCGTAGCCGATCAAATGACCGGACTTTATGTTTTTTAATTGAATATATGAATTGTGGATGTTAGGAAGGAAATAAACTAAAAACATTTTATTATAATTAGACAAAATTGAATATTGCCAATTTTATGTATTGCAAATACAAAGAATAAGATTTTTTAATTCATTGCTCAACGCATTTTTGACATATACAGGGTGTTTCCATTCTACGTTTTCCGCAAACATATTTCTTCTAATTATTATTCTTTCTATAATTCTTATAATTATTCTTATAATTACAAGAATTATAATTATTCTCATAATTAATATTATTTCGGGAAAAATATACTTGAGGGTGTCCCTTGGCGAAATTGGCGACTTATGTTTGGCGCCATACTTGTTTGTCCGGAACGCCGTGGTAACCCACAAACAGGACATTTATATCTATTACTAATTAAACCTTCATTCATACACCAGTCAATCACTGTTTTTTTTTTCATTGTTATTAAAATCGTACAGAAGCTTAAGATTTATCTTATTGACAGTATTCATTTTTAGTACCAGAAGCAAAAGTAACCTTACCAGCCGGTATCCAAAGTAGAACTAACGGATCTCTGAAATGACATTTAAAAATTCATTTAAAAACAACGCTAAATTCTAAACTAATCAGAATCACGATTAAAATCTAAACCAATCAGAATCACGATTGGTTTTCAACATCGCCCAGCTTGGCGATCAATCGCGATCACAACTTGGCGGGGGCACCCTCAAGTATAGTCTACCCATTATTTCTTCTAAGAACTTGTGCTGTCTTGATTGTTTTGACATTTTTCTGGATAAAAACTAACAGTTAGTTAGAAATGAAGTAAAACAATTAAAATAAAATATAAACTATTTACCAAAATACTTCGCTTTCGTCACCTTTTCTGACGCAAAAATGCCTAACTAAAATTTTAGGTACTTTCTTGAAATTTGAACTCATAGTTGTTAGTTCTGATTGAACTCACTATGCAACAGCCTTTGCAGAAATGGGCAACTCAACGAATGCAATACGTTGAACACTCATTACATCGTAATTTCTGATCCGATAACCTTATAAAGCAATAAATTGTTCTCCCGGTCAAATGACCGGTGGTGGTAGAAATAGGTATACGACAAGTATTATTCGAAACAAACAAAATACGAAAATAATAATAATAATAGAATATGAACTGCATATAATTGTTAGAAAAAGTCATGAAGTCAAATGTGCAAAAATGATAACATAACAAGCTCATTTTCGATGAAAAAGTTCTTAAACGGTCATTTGACCGGTAATGGTATGTTTAGTGTTAAATATGCATTTTAAACTATGTACAAAATTATAAAAGTTCATTGACGTTATTACAGTTGGGCGAAAAGGTGGGAAAGGAATTTTGTCTTATTACCAACTTTTATAAAATAAAAATAGAAAATGGAAACAATGTTTTATTTTTTTATATATTTACCCGTAAGCAGCCAGGCTTGGATCATAATAATAAGAAGCAGATGGCGTAATTCCTCTCCACGGGTCGCCAGCATCTTTCATACCATAGGCTGTACTCTAAACAAACAAAAAAAGAATAAACAATTTTTAGTTAAATGATCACATGAAGTTGCATTATAAGTTGAAATCGAACGGAAAAATTTAACACGATTCATACCAATGTCTTGAGTTATGGGAAGATTTAGAGAATATTTTTATTTGGCATACAAAAATAATTATCGAAAATTCTTTGAATCAGCTTGAGCCATAGCACAGCCCAAAAGAAGATCTAAGTGAAAAATAAGGTTAAATAACTATTCGAAATTTTCGAAATTTCCTGTTTTGAGAAACGATTAAGATGAAATTATTTGAAAAATCGTTCCATCTAGAAACTATTTCAGTCAAAGGTAATAATTAGTTAATGCTCATATATAAGTTTTAGTTAAATGCTCAGATGAAGTTGCTTTATAAGTTAAAATCGAACGAAGAAATTTAACATGATTCATACCAATGTCTTCAGTTTTTGGAAGATTTAGGAAACAGAATATTTTTATTTAGCACATCTATATAAAAAAAATTTGAATCAATTAACCATAGCACAGCCCAAAAGAAGATCTATATAAGAGATGAACGTTAAATAACGATTCGAAAACTCTCTAAATTTCCTGTTTTGAGAAATGATTAAGATGAAATTATTTGAAACATCGTTCTGCCTAGAAACTATTTCGTTTAAAGGTAATAATTTTATCTTACTTTCTTTTATCATATTCTCTAAATACCATTTTGTGTATAACAGAGGTTTGACGGAATTTTCGTTTTCGACAGAAAATCATCCCTCATGCCAACCACCCTCATAAATCACAGAAAGAGTTTTGACAACATCTTTCACTATCGTGACAGACATCAACCCCCAAAGTGTAACGACTTCCACCCTTCTGTCAACGGAAGAATTGCAAGAAATGCAGCACACGCAAATAGGAAGAATAAAAAGAAGCATCGCCCAAACAATGCCGAAGAGGTTAACAACAAGAGGCAACTGAAATCTAATTTTAGGTCAGAGATTTCCAAGGAATCCTAATTACGTCGCCGACGTCGAAAAAGAAGAACCAAACTTCAGGCTGAGCCTTACGCCAGAGAGCGCATACCTCATTATGGGGGTGACGAACGACTTGGCTACGAAAATATTCCTTTTTGACAAACATCTTCATAGTTCTTTAAGTAGCGCGTAACAGACACCCCTGTTAATGATGCTTGCAAAAACCTCCTGGGCGGACAAGAAAAAGAAGTGTTTTTGACGTCTGTCCTCTTGCCCATCTCGTGTCTGAATCACAATCCCAAAAACACACCCCACATCTCGCAATTGTTTCTCCAGATTATGGAATGTCATGCCAAAGATGAGGCACACGTCCGCCCTGATTCCAGTTTTTTTGTTATAAAAGTAACATAGAACACCTCCTTTGTGCGACACACACTATATGACTCACAAAAGATTTTTAAAATACTCTTGTCTCATTTCACTGACGTACCGTACCAACCATCTTTGCAAAACGTCGACGTTGAATCAAAACGCTCATAATAAGCGGTTTCTGGTAACTTTGAGTTTGTGTTTAGTTAGGAATTATTTTAGTGAATTTTGAAAAATTCAGTTAAGAAGTATCAATGGGGTATCGATAATAACAAATGCTTAATAGTGACTATGACTGAAAGTTTGTTTATATCGACACAATATATCATTTTCAAAATATTTTTTAAGAAGTATTAATGGGTTGTCAGCAATAAGAAGCCTTAATCGACACTATACAATTAAAACTTAGTTTACATGAGCAGTTTATATGAATGACAGTAATGAAACTGCTCAAAACGATCTTTCAAAACTGATTAAGTAATGAAACTGCTCAAAATGATCTTTCAAAACTGATCAGTAATGAAACTGCTCAAATTGATATTTCAAATCTGATCAGTAATGAAACTGTTAAAAATGATGTTTCAAAACTCATCAGTAATAAAACTGTTCAAAATAATATTTCAAAACTAATCAGTAATGAAACTGCTCATAATTATATTTCAAATCTGATCAGTAATGAAACTGCTCAAAATGATGTTTCAAAACTGATCAGTAATGAAACTATTCAAAATGATATTTCAAAACTGATCAGTAATGAAACTGACTCAAAATGATGTTTCAAAACTGATCAGTAATGAAACTGACTCAAAATGATGTTTCAAAACTGATCGGTGATGAAACTGCTCAAAATATTTTAAAACTGCTCAAAATGATATTTCAAAACTGATTAGTAATGAAACTGCTCAAAATGACATTTCAAAACTGATCAGTAATGAAACTGCTCAAAATTATATTTCAAAACTGATCAGTAATGAAACTGACTCAAAATGATGTTTCAAAACTGATCAGTAATGAAACTTCTCAAAATGATATTTTAAAACTGCTTAAATTATATTTCAAAATTTCTCAATAATGAATCTGCTCAAAATGATACTTCAAAATTGCTCAGTAATGAAACAGCTCAAACTATCACATACTTCATATCGAACATAACATGTTTCTTCGCCACAAATTCCGGTTGTTGTTGTTGTTTCTAATGTCACATTCCTATACCAGCAAGCGTACTTGGTAAAACCAAGCGAATTTAATGCAGAGAGTACGTTTTTTGTTTCTCAGTGGCGCCATTTATGGCCAAGAAAACGATTTCAGTCACACACACGTAGCAACCCGTTTACAAGGGCGGACCCATTTATTCATTCACAGATCGTAATTTTAGCCTAAACCAGAGAAGAATTCATCTCCAGTTTAGTAATTCAGTGGTATGATTTATGAAGGACTTTATGACCCGACAGATTTGACGTGCACCAGTCACCATTTACTACACGGAGAGTGTTTGGTCAGTGGAGATCGAACTCGCGACCTCTTCAACATGGCTCTCCTGGCCCAGTTTATAAATCTGATAACCTCATGTATAATACAACGTACGACTATAATTTCTGAAACATAACTTCTTAAAGTGTTACTGATAACTTTTTCGAATTAAGTTTTATTTCGATAGAATTAAGAAGTAAAGCTCACTATTCGCACCACTTCCGATTCTGTACATCGTCAGTTAAGTTTCTTATTTATTTAAATTTCCAGCCAAAGTTTTATCTTCCGTGTGTGAAAGCTTTATTCGAAATAAAAACGTTCTCTGACAGATTTATGCAGTCGAATTACTCAAAAATACTCACGTTTATAAAGAAACCCTAAATGAAATGATTCATTCCAAATGTCGCCACACGCGAAAGAAACATCGCCAACACGCAATCCTATTTACTTTAACAAGTTTGACTATTGGAAAAAGCTGGCGAAAACAGGGATTTTGTTTTTTCACTTCTGGTTAACAAAGATTCTAGGTTGAGTCATGATAAGAACAGAGTTGATTGATATTCCAAAGATGTTGCTTTGTCTGCAAACATAATTAACTTCCACCAAACGATTGTTCTCGACTTATGTTTTTGGAATGGTTTCTTCGTAGTCGTTAAATAGCCATTTTGTTTTTAAAATTCTTGTATTGAGGGCTTGTTCAAGTAATTCATGTTTGCGTCGAGATTAAATCTGGAGTTGTAGAGGTTAACCAAAATCTGTTTGATAGAGGGCGCTGCTAAGCACTTGCTAGTCTGATGCATAGAAAAATAAGAAATTATTTTTGAAAAGAAGGCTTTCCGCGACTTAAATTTCATAATATTTTTAAAAATAAATAAATAAATATGTGTAAATGTGTTAAGAAATACTGCATCAATAAATTCTGCTAACCATCTATTGGTTTCAGCTTCTACTTGGCAAAATTAACTATAAAAAATAATAGTTATAAAAAAATAGCATTCAAAATAATAGTACCTTTAATGTTAAGCACCTTTTTACACATCTGTTTTTCAAGAAAAAAAAAAAGGAAAGATAAAAACTTATTTTTGATCTCTTGGCAGTTCATTTTGACTCCCAATTATGCTTTGATCCCTAAAAATTTTTCGAAACTGTTTGTTTTTAAATTTAACAATTTTTTGAACTAAAACACAGTTTTGAATTTGTGTGGAAAAAAGAAAAAGAAAGTTAGGAATAAAAAATAAAAAAATTACAATGTACTTTCGGAAATAAAGTACCTTCTTCCAGATTTCTTTTTTTCTGAAGATCAAAACTAAGTTTTTATCTCTAATCCGACCTGTAATAATCTCTAACAATTCACTAATAATATTCGTTTTGGACCGTAACTATGTTTTGACCTCAAACGATTTTACAAAATTATGTTTCGGAAAAGTTAAACAATTTTTTGAAATAAACCACCGTTTCGATTTTTTTTTCTGAAAAGAAAAAGAAAGGAAGAAGAAGAAGAAAAAGAAAAAGAAACTGCAACATGGTACTTTTGGAAAAAAATAGAACCTAAAAATAAACTTCTGAGTCGTATTAAAATAAATTGGGTCTTTGATTCTTTAAAATAGCAGATAAATAATTTTAAAAAATTACAAAATTTGGTGGTTGGTGCTTAAAACATACGTATGAGTATTAATTTTAAATTATGTATATATTTCAAGTTTATAGAAAATTAGAATTAGTATCGAACTTAAAATTCTTACTTAACTGTGTTTAAAAATGCTAATTTTTTTATCTTTTTGCATAAAAAATGAAAGGCATCATCGGTTATCATAAAAAAAGCAATATATCGTCGTCAATTCAATCAAAATCTAAAGAACACCTTTCCAGTAATTTTGCTTCGATTACTATTCTAAAAACACCTTTATTATGAGCTTGTTTTCAGGTACTCTTGCTTTTATGTTTCTAAACAATTATGACATTTAAGTGATCTGAAAGTTTACATAAAAGTGAAGAGGTTATGAAAATTAATCATTATACGATATTACTTTCACCTCCTAAAATGTTCTAAAAAAAATCAAAAATGTTGGAAAATCCATGCTAAATTGAATATTCAAAACACTTATCCGTTCCACAGTTCCGTTATCACCAAGAAAAAATTTAGGTTGGTACAGTTTGTCTCCGGTAAGAACTCCCCCACCACGAAGTCTGAGGCTGTCTGCTG